GTCTTTAGGCATAAGTCGGCGAGGCCGCCGCGTTGGTCCCCAGAAAATTGAATAAAAAATTTCAAAATTTTATAAAAATTCAAATAAATTTCTAACATCATTAAAAATTACTAATTAATTTAATGATTTTATTAATAAAATTAGTCATTTGTCATGAAATTACAAATTTCAAAAGGCGAGATGTAATTTTCTAAACCAAATAGAACAATTCTTATTTTAAACAAAGTATGAAAAGTTGATTATTTTGGTCAAGAAATCGTTGAATTTTTACATTGAAATATAAAAATAAAAATAAAAATAAAAATAAAAAGCCCCCCCCCAATATACAAAGGTCTCGTTTGGTGTAACTGTTAAAACAACTTATAGATTATAACTTAACAGATTATAGATTATGACTTTAATCAGAAGTTGTTAATCTGTTTGGTGTAGCTGTTGGATTATAGATTTAAGTTGCTGAGTAGTGTTTATTAAATAAGTTGTGAAATAGCTTTTTCAATTAATTTTTATTTTTTGTTTGTCTACATTTCTCATAAAAAATAATAATAATAATCTATAGTCCATTTGAGTCTTTTTCTATTTTTAAAAAAATAAAAAATAAAAAAAATTTAAGAGTATAACCATAAATTAACATGTCTATAGCAGAAGCTGATAATCAGAAGCAAGGAATGAGCAGCTTCTCAGAATCAGTTTTTTTGAGTTAAAATAAGCTGTTAGAATCAGAAGCTGTTTGAAATAAGTTTAATCAAACAGTCCAAAATAACTTTTTCAAAGCTAAAAGGCATAAGTTGGCTCTGAAAAGCTGAAACAAACACCCCCAAAGTAGAGGATTTCACTTCGGTGATTCTTAGGAAATCTCAAACTAAATTATTAGAAATTAGACACTAATTTCTCAATCACTTAAATAGATTGAACATACAATTTTCTTAATTGATGACAGGCAGGCCGTCTTTGGGCATAAGTTGGCCAGGCCATCGCTTTGGGCCCCAAAAAATTAAATAAAAAAAAAAGTTTCAAAAATTTATTAATTATTATGTTAGTATCACAATTCAAACTCGTCTTTATAAGCTTAGTTGATGACCGGCCATTAATTTTAGATTACCTTCGGCCTCAATGACAATACAATCATAATATAATAATGGGGTTTAACAGAAGTAATAAAAGATATATCTGAGTCTATTGAGCAGTACATACATGTTAAAATCATAAATATTAAAAACTTTAAACTTCATTCAAACTTATATACAACGCACCAAAGTTGGACTTCCCATATATCATCATTCATAACAAGTTCCAAAACATCAAAAGAAACAAAACAAAATAAAAGGTGGATTAACAAAACTTGATTCCTCTTGAGTCAAAGCACACCCCTTTACAGAAGGCAATTCAAAAATGGCTTCACAGGGATAGACACTGAGACTACCTTAAACTTGACGTTTCGTTTGCTCACCTACGTATATATAAGGAAGAGGGATAAGCTAAAACCCAATGAGTAATATCGATATAAAGGTTTTATATGAATGAAGTCCAGCATGGTACAAAGCGTATCTTTCGTTTCCGAACAATTCATGTCAATATGCAAACCATTAAAATAAACAATCATATCAATCTCTTTGCGATAACAATAATCATTCATTCAATTTACGTGGTACATCCAATAGGGTATCAATGAGATACTGTGCTGAAGCCAATAAGACCACAAGGGTTAATCAATAATTCATAATTCAATGTGTACCATTAAGGTCTAACATCAGAGATCTCTGTGTTTCAATTAATCCAATGGGCTATGGTATTATTTTCCCTAAACAAGAGCCTATTAATCAATGGGCCACGGTATTGTTTCCCTCAAGCGAGGGCCTCACTAATGGATGTCACGATTACAATTTATTAACAAAATATAATTATTTTTTTTTTTGAACTGGAACAAAATATAATTCAAAATGCCAGTTTTGAACAATTTCAAAATATATTTCGAACATAGCTATATAAAGACATTACTTACAGTGTATTATATCGATATTAGGCCTCAGGCGTCTACCTACACAATATACATATTGAAACACAAATCTCAATCAAATGTTCTATAATTCAATTCCCTTTTAATGCGTTTCTAGTTCATTTCCCTATTAAGGATGCCTGAACAATGCCTAAGGGTGAAAGCATGCACATGAGAGTGTGTTTCAAAAATACTGAAAATAGGACAGTTCGCTCAAACGCACCTTTGGTCGCTCGAGCGGTGTAGTTTGTCTGCAAAAAAGTACTGGATACCTGAAATATGCTTTCGATGGTCACTCGAGCCATGTGGAATAAAAGGGTGAGTTCACTTGAGCTGTAATTATGTCGCTCGAGCCATGTGCAACTACAAAAGTACTAGATACATGCAAAGTGCGCTCGAGCGACAACTTCATCGCTCGAGCGAAGTGCACAAATTCTAGGTTTTTCATAATTGAATTTGAAGTTCAAAACACCAATTCAAAGCCCAAAAGCTTGCATGGCTAGACTAAAGAGATGAAAGCTCTTTGAATTACATATAAACATAACCAATGTGAAACCAATTCAATTCTCAAAATCAAGCTCAAAACTTCATACTTTAGCCATGCATGTAATGAATTCAATTCTTTTCTTTTCAAAACATGTTCATATGATATGTTTAGTGCGAAATCATGAAGAACATTCAAAGATAGCTAGTAAAACACCATGCATGTAAGAATTTTGTTGAGAATTAAGCTTGAAAATGATGAATTATACATGCATGTACTCAATTAGCTCAAACTCACTAAATTCATGGTGATTCTAACTCTTTCCTTTCAAATACATGCAAATGGTTCTACAAACTTAGTGAATTCAACTTCTACATGGATAATTTACAAGAATTGTAAGTGATAATCTTACCTAGAGCTTGAATTTGGTGATAATCTAGTTTAATCCCTTCAATCTCCCTTCAATTCTCTAAAATTCTCCCCCTCTCTCTAGAAGTTGATGTCCTCACTCTCACTCTAAAATTTCAGCTCAAGAGTTGTAGAAAATGATTTAATTAAGTTGTATTACATATAAATAGTTGGATTAAGTTAAACTAATTAAGTAGGATTAAGGCTAATCAGTTAAGTTTAATTCTAATCAAGTCTAATTAATTTATTCTAATTATTTTGATCCGAATCAAGTTTTAATTAAATTTTCTATAAGGTTCTAAATATTCTAATTAACCTATTGAACTAGTCGATTTCAGTTTCCCAATCCATTTCTGCTTCCAATTTCTAATTCAAAGTAAGCACTTAGACATATTTTTCATAAACAAACAAATAAGAGCAAATTAAATACATAATTATGCAAATATGTTCAATAAAATAATATATAAAAATAATATGCACATTGGGGGTCGTCACAATTAGCCTATAAAAAACATTTCATTAGAATTTAAAGGGTCTCAACAAAATTCAATTATGATTTAAAACTAATAGATGGTTGATATGATAAATTATTTAAAAATTATATATTATTTTTTCTATCAGAAGAAACAAAAAAATTTATTAATGTGGTAAATTGTTTGAAATTATTGAATGGTTATTTTTCAAATGTATGGATTATGTATAGAATACGATTAATTATACTACTTGTAGTTACTCTTTTGAAATTAAAATTGATTAAATCTTACATTTACACAACTATGTCAAATGAAAGATTAAATGTATTAGCAACTTTATTCATAAAAAAATAATTTAGGTTATAGGTTGGATTATGCGAACTACATTATTAATTTTACAACTAAAAATACCAAAAAATGATATTTACGTAATTTTTGTTACAGTTTGTTTACTTTTTATTTGATTCTTCCGTTTAGATTAGTTTGGTTATTTTTCTTATTGTAAATTTTTAATGTATATTTAAGTAAATTATTGTCAAATACCAACAAAAAAAAAAAAGGCAGATAATTATTTTTAATATATATATATATATATATATGAAGGCTCCATATTGAAAGTTCGCTTTGGTTGTTAAAAAAGTTAGAGCCAACCCTAATTACAATATAATTATGAAGATCAAATCATCACACGAGAAAAACTAGACTGATTACGAGTATAATTGATCACATATAATAATATGTGTATGCACGTACCTGAAGGCACGGTGTAAATAAAATAAGTAAACAAAAATGAGAAATTTTTTTGAAAAATAAAGAAATAAGGAGGAAAATAAAAAAAATAAAAAAGGGAAAGGAAAGAGGGAGGAAAGTGGGCAGGAGAGAGAGAATGCATGAGTGAACAAGGAGGAAGATCCCCTCTAGTCACTGTTTTGGACTCAACGGGGCTGTTCTGGCTCGTGGGGTCCATCACGGGTCTTATTTTGGTAATTCAAACGGTTCATGTTGTCAAATATTTTATGTATTTTATCTATACAAAAAATAAGTTGATCCGATAACTGTAACTAGTTCAATTTCTGGCATTTTTCACAACCAAAAAAAAAATAGACAACAAAAAAAATAAACCATGTATTTTTTTTTTTTGAAATAAAACCGCTGGACTATCGTTCCTATTCTATTCTGGAACAAAAAAGGGCTTAGTATCATGGTTAAGTCAATTGGGTTCTGTCTAGATCAGTGCTATGGATAGTATTTCCTGTTCCAGATACATACTATATTTATCAATAAATAATTAATAAACTTTTATAAAAGAAACTGAATTCTTTTTAGGTCAACTTTTTTTTGTTTTGTTTTTTTGGTGGGTATTGAACTTATCAAGTTGTATGAGTTAATTTCCGAATATATATCAGGTTACACCAATATACCAAGATAATTACTTTTTAATTACTTTGATTATTTTAAAAAAGCAAAACAAAGGTAATTAAAGTTTTAAAAAATGTTTTTTTTACATTTTTAATAATTATTTTAGTATTTTAGTTAACCTTTTAATCAAAATGGAAGAAGTCAAATAGATTTTAATTTAATTTTAAAGATAAATTGGCTTTTGGAAATGGCAGCTTATAAGAGCTGCCCAAATCATACCTGTTCATCCACAAATCATTTGGGCAAAGGACTCGCGCTTTGGAAGTTAATCACTTTGTGTATCAATGGAGGGTTTTGTTGGGAATGGAGCTTTGAAGAGAGTGATTCCAAAGCTCATAGAAGAAGGTTGGGATGATGTACCAACCTTGAAGCTTATGAAAGCAGAAGATATGGATTCAATCAACATGACTCAGCAACAAAAGGTTCTTTTACGATTACTATCAACCCCTCCCATTTTATAATATTCTAATACATAAGTCTACTAAATGTCTCCTTTATTTGTCTTTATTATACATAGTTATATTAATATTCTTTAACACAAAATACACTCTCTAAAATAATTAAAATTTTAAAAGTATTAATGTAAGTATGTATGATAAAGATTTTTGTTGCTGATAAAAAAAAAAAAGTATGTATAATAAAGATAAAAAAGAGAGCATTTGAAGCAAAGCAAAGTAGGAATTATGCCTCCCTAAATTAAACTCAAAACTATCTATGGCCTCTAATTAAAGTGTTTTTTTTTAAAAAAAAAAATTTTAATTTTTTTTCATGATTTACACTATAGGATGCATTGGAAATGAGGTCATACCTTCATGATTGTGCTCTGATTCAATATGGAGATAAGCTTGAGTCCGCTGGGAAATCTCTTCAGGAACTTCTTGAGTTAAGTATCGATGAAATTTCTTCTCAATTTGGTATGAAGAAAGGCCACGTCGCTCGTTTCATTGAAAGAAGAACCAGTAATTCTTCTGCACCAAATCTTTTGCAGCAGCCACCCCAAGCTCTCACTTCAAGCAGAAAAACCACCAAAACATCTAGTAACAATAGCATTCACAATGGTGAGTTGATTTTATTCAATTTCTGTCATTTGTAGAAAAAATATACTCCTAATATATCTATATTTGCATTTACTGGAAAGAATAAATGACGTCTCGTTTGGAAAGTTGACTATTTTAGTAGGTTGAAATTTTTGTGTTTGGAAAAATGATTGAATTTTTTAATAGTTAAATGTGATATTTGTGAGAGAAAAAATGAAATGATTATAAATTTAATGTGATATTTTATTTTGTTGACTATTGTAATATATTTTGTCTTTTTATAGATTTAAATAAATAAATAAATAAAAAAGAAGAAGAAGAAGAGAGGCCCAAATTTGCCTTCCCAAACATCTGCAGCTTATGAGGCTTGAATTCAAGGGGCACCAGAGTAATCAACTGGTCTTGAGTCACTTTCTGTTTACTATATATATATATATATAGCTGTCCAAATTGAATATATATTTTTGAAATTCCGCTAAAAAATGCAACAAAATCAATAAATTGGGGACTAAAAATGCAACAAAGCACATAGTTTGAAAATTGAATTGTACACTTTGAGAATCACGTGTATTTGGTCTTCTTTTTTCTTTTTTTTTTCTTTTTTTTAGGCTTAATTTAAAATTTCAAAAATGTATCATCCCTTGTTAATCAATTTAGATGGCATAAGGGCTGAAACAAATTTTTTATTTTTTTTTTTGAAAAAGGCTTGAAGGCCAAATTAGAAACTACCAATAGTTGGAACCATTTAAACTCACAGTTTTTAGTTTAGAGATCAAATTGACAAAACTAAAATATCAGAGACTAAAGTGAAAAAAAAAAAAAAAAAAACAAAAAAAAAAAAAAAAAAAAAAAAAAAAAATCATACTTTTACGCTGTATTTAGTTGGGAGATTTGGAAAAGAAAAGAGAAAATGTATGTGAAATTAGGTGAAATATAGGTATATTTTATTCACATTTCACTTATTTTTTTCTTTTCTCTTTCCAAATCCGTTACAAAATCCTCCAACTAAATACAACGGGACCAATCATATAATTTGTCATTGTAATAAAATTTTATAAATTCTTCTCTCAATTAATGTACAGATTTTCATTGCTAAAGAAAAAAGTATTCCAATAACATGTCAGAGTAGCGGTCAAATTATATCAATGCCAAATATGTCAAATTATATCCAAAAAAATTTCCATTTCACTATATCTTAAGATGTATGATTAAAGAATGATAACTAAAACCAAAAATTAGTTTCACTTTTATTTCTAAATTATCAACAAAATGCATTTGTTGAATTAAAAATTAAAAAAAAAAAAAAGTTTGGTGAGAGAAAAAAACCACATTATCGTCATACAATTTTCTCTTTGTTGCAGTAAAAATTATTTTTTCATATGTTAATTTTTTTTTTTTGTATTTATTTTTCTCAAACTAATTTTAATTTTTTACAGTTAGATTAAAATTTAGATTGAGATTCATGCAACGATCAGTTTTTTTTTTTTTTTTAAATGGAAAGTTGGTTGGTTGTTGGAGCAAAACTGTTAAAATTTAATATTTTGATATTGTAATATACTAAATTATAATTTTTGCATTTTTAAAATAATAAAACCATTGGAAATACTATAATAAGTCATCTATATACTAAGCTACATGTGTCCTGAGATTAGTTGAGTTGCATAAGCTAGTCCGAATATCCAGTAATTAAATATACATACATATATATATATATATATATATATATATTCTAAACTACATAGCTTCTTGGTAATTTGGTGACAAAATACTTCATCCACCGTTGACTTAATTAAAGTATTTTGCAAGTTTTAATTTTCACAAAGCAAATTCTTTAAATCTTTTTTACGCGGCTGGTTATATATGTTTATATTTCCCATATTGTGATGCAGCTTTGAACCACTCTACAAATTTAATTTTAACAAAGCAAAATTTTCAAATCTTTTATTGTATCAATAGTTCATATTCTTATGTTGCTTTGAACCATTTTCCCCCCTCTCAAATAGAAGATTTGTTAGGAGAGAGAGGAGGAGAAGTTTCATAATTTAAACATTTTACATTGACCTTAACTATTGATAATAATAATATATATATATATATATATAGTAGAAATTTTACTTGTCCTAATATTTCAATGTTTATAGAAATAATTTTTGAAATATTAATATATGTTGCAAAAGGCATGAGTAGAATAGATCATAACATTCCCATTACTATCTTATTGCAGCCTCCAAAATGAATCCCATGTTGTACAGAGAAGCCATGAGAGGCGAAGAGAAAATGGGAGGAGGTGAAGAGAAACCCGAATTGGTTCCCCATATTAGTTGGTCTAGCCGACTGTTCTCCTGGATTACTTGGTCCAGTGGGTTGGATACCAAGTTATCAAAAAAAAAAATAGGAGGCAAAGAAAATGAAGACAACCATGATGATGTTCTCAACCATGATGATGTTCTCAACCTCACGCAATACATTAATGACCAACAACCACTTGAACTGCCATTAACTTCAAATAAAAACACAGTCCTCCATGTCGCAGCCCAATTCGGTAACCAAAAATATGTGGAAATAATCTTAGAAAAGAGTCCGTCATCATCCTTGTGCTTTAATATCGATGACGAGACTCCTCTTCATATTGCAGCGAGGGAAGGACACTTGGACATAGTGAAAGCACTCATCGAATGTGCAAAAAGACTAGACCGTGAAGAAGTTGAAAGCGGGGGTGGAGCAGCCAAGGAGATGTTGAGGGCCCCAAATAAGGACAATGACACTGCCTTGCACATGGCTGTGCGAAATCCTCTTAACATAGATGTGGTGACATGGTTAACTAAAGAAGATCCTGAGTTTACACATCCACCCAATAATGCCAAGGAAACTCCACTATACCTTGCCGCTGAGAGACAACACTATGACATGGTATCTGCGATTTTGGAAAATTGCACATCACCAGGTTATGGTGGCCCAAACGGTCAGACGGCATTGCACGCGGCAGCAACTAACGGAAGGAATACAGGTTTGTGGCTATTTCAATTTCTTCAACCAATTTAACGACAATGCTAGGTAGCTCAAATTATTGTGGCTCAAATGGCTCAAATCTGTCAAAACGACGTCGTTTTGACAGATTTTGAGTGTAAAACGACGTCGTTTTGACAGATTTGAGCCGACGTCGTTTTGACAGATTTTGAGTGTAAAACGACGTCGTTTTGACAGATTTGAGCCATTTGAACCACAAAAATTTGAGCGACCAAACATTTTCCCCAATTTAATTACATGCACAATTGTAGAGAAAAGAAAGAGTAGAGCGTTGGATTAAAGAAATACATATTCTTCTAGGCATACATATTCCTGCTCTGTTTATTTATTAGTTGCGGTAATCATTTACATTTCATTATCTTGGACAATCTTCACTGTATTTAAAAAAATTAAATTCTGTTGTGTACAAAATAACAACAAGAATAAAAGAAATAGAGAAAATGAGAGAATTTGTTTGATTACAAAAATCAAACTCGAAATAAAAATAAATAAATAAAACCACAGATTTTATTTTGTTACAAAAACAAAATTAAAATCTGATTAAATAAACAAATAAAAACAGAATAAAATTAAACAACTTACTTGGTTAATTTATTTGAATAACTTTTCTGATCAAGTCCAAAATGTGACACTCCAATGTAGCGGGCAAATGAAACATTGCACATCCAAAGAGACTTATAATAAAAAAAATATTGGAATAGCTCTCCACGGTGCTTTCAGAATTTGGACGTCTATCTCCCAGGATGAAATGATCTTACTGCAAACAATAGCAGCACTACAAATTGTTTGCCTTGCGAACACACTAAGTGTTTACACTCTTTCTTTCGGAAATAAAATGCAGCAAGATGAAGAATATAATTTGCAGAGGATGGAGTACGAAAATTTTTTTGGAGTTAAATCCAAATGGGAGGCTAGTCTATTTATAGATGTAAAGGTGGCTCTTGGTTTTGAATTGAACAGGTATGAAACCTGTTAGTTTCAAATTTAAACAGATTTGAATCTGTTGGGTTAATTATTCAAACAGATAGAAACGGAAAGGGCTCTGTTTGGATGAGCAATAAATCCAAATCAGTTTAATTCTGTTTGAAAACGGGAAGGGCCCTGTTTTGATGAACAAAAAATCCAAACCAATTTAATTTGAATTCTGGATTTTATTTTAATAAAAAATAAAATTAAATTCAAATGTTTTTGGCCCAAAAAGATTAGAAGCCCAACCGGACGGACGGTGGCGCGCGTGTGGTGATTTTTGAGTCTAATGGGTCTAGCCCATTTTGTCCATAACCTCTCCCTCTAAAACACTTGGGTACCCCTTGGGGCACACCCCAAGTATCTCACCCTAAGCCTTATAAACCCTTTCAAAACTTCCCACCAAATCAATGTGGGATATGCCAATTTACAACCTTAAGGAATTTCTACAAAAACTCCATTTTCATGGAGCACACTTTGGTTTCAATTTTCCATTCACTCGGTAATGGTTTTGAGCAACCAAATATACCACGTGAATCACAACGCGGCATAGAACGCGTTACCACTTTGACCCGAGTAAATCGACACTCGGGGCCCACCTAAAAAATAGACCAAACTTGAGGAAAAATTCTGATTTTACCCAGAATTTTTTCCACCATTTCCAACACATCATACTAATAGCATCCAAAATACCTTTTCGAAAAAATTAAAGTTACATGTGTTATAGACAAGAGATTAGAATTGGAACGATGATGTACTTTTAATCAAATATGAAACAATGATTCAAATTGAAGCACATGTCTAGCTTAGTAGGTCTTTTGAAGTTAAGAGGACAAATGTGCAGTGAGGGACTGATATACAGAGTCTTCCAGAGGAAATTGTTAACAAAATTAATTTCAAAAAAAGAAGAAAAAAAAGTTGAAGCATTTTCTATTGTTGAGGTATGTATTAAATTGTATTCAACACTTTTTCTTTGATTCTTCTGTTTCAGAAAGTATAGAACTTTTATTGGAATGGAAGCCAGATCTAATCAAGGAAGTAGATGAGTACGGGTGGATACCACTTCACTATGCTGCATGTTATGGTGGTAAGGATAAAGTTAAAAAGATATTAAAAAAAAATAAATCAGTGACGTACATTACAACAGAGGAGGAGGGTGCTGAAAAGACGGCTCTTCATATAGCTGTTACTTATGAAAGTGTAAGCGTAATGAAAGAGCTTTTATCAGAGTGTCCAGATTGCTGGGAGATGGTCAATAGTAAAGGTCAAAATATTCTTCACATTGCTGTAGATATGGAACAAGAAGAGGTGACGAAATTTATTTTAGAAAAGTCATGGATTATCCATCTTATAAATCAGAAAGACATTGATGGCAACACACCACTCCATCTGCTTGCTACTGCTTTCGGGCGGGAAATGCAGGACCCCTGGAGGAAGATCTGGTACCACTCTAGTAGCGATCGGCATGCTACAAACAATAACAACGTGACCCCAATGGCAATATTTTGGTCTCCTATTGCAAAGGTAAGAATGTCAACTTTGACCGCATATGACATGTTTTCTCATAGCATGCATCGTACATACGATAATGTTGAGAACCAAACCTTTACATCTTCCTTTGTGCACATCACACACCATAATGTATTACAAATTTTGCAAAAAATAACAAAAAAAAAGAAAAGAAATATAAGTGAACAATTTTTTTAGTATGCATATAGGTGTAGTGATGATGGGATTAATAGTATCAAGAGGTTCAAGTAATAAAAAAGTTTAAACGAGTTTTCTTTTTTAAATAATAAAGTGTGTAGTATAATAAAAATTTATTTGTTCGAAATTAATTGACTCATAATATTTAGCTTACTTTCCGTAGTCTTTCAAGAATAGTGGTACTTGAACTGAAAAAATTAGATTCACTTTTCAAAATTAATAATGTGATAGTCTATTACAATATTTAAAACAACTCTCTCTCTCTCTCTCTCTCCATCTCATGTCTTCTTTAATCATTAATCATATTTTTTTACACATTATTAAATATAAAAGGTAAATTTACATATCATTTTCTTTCTCTCAACTACGCCTACCCTTGTTTGGTTGAATTTATATATAATATCATAACATTAGCACCTTCACCATATGTTCCAAGTATTTTTGTCAAGTGAGGCAGTTATGCTATAATACTCAAATCTAATTACTTTTCATTTAATTATAACAATTTTAATATTGCAAAAGACTTTAGCTTATTCTGAATATGCATTTAGGACGTCAAAATGGCGTCATTTTGCTACTATTGCGGATCCCTCGCAGCAGTATCCCATACTCTAATATTTATAAGATTCAGGCCCACTTTGATATTTTCAGAACTTAAAGTGAAATTTTAATATGGAACCTTTCATACATTAAAAAACAAAAATGTGACTAAAAGATTATGTATTTTTTTATTTGACAGTGCTTACCAAAACATTACTTAGATATATAACTATCAAAATTTACTTAAATATATAACAAAGTTTATAATGTGTAAAACCAAAATAATCCAAGTTCAAACACCAAATAAAAAATGAACAAACTATAACAAAATACGAATTAAACATCACCACTCTCGTATTTTTAGCTGCAAAATGGCTATTTGAAATTGAATAATCTAACTTATCGACAAAATCCTTTTTAATTCATAAAAATATTAATTTATTTAATCTTTCGCGTGACTATGTTTTTCCTTTTCTTGTGACTAGTTGACCGGAGGTAAGATTTAATCAACTTTAAATTTTGAAAGTTTCTTTCCCCATAAATAACTATAACTAATATAATTAATCATATTTTAGACACAATTCATGCATTTTGAGAAAGGATTTTTAGTTTGAGGTCCTTGATATTAAAATTTTATAAGATAAATGACATACAATATTTTCATAGTAGTTGAGGTCCCACAACATTTTTACAGAGAAATTTTGACAAAGAAATTTCGACTCTTCACTGAGAAATTTCAATTTTTACAAAGAAACTTCACTTTTTACAGAAAAATTTCTCTGGTATGATCATAAAAAAAATTCATTGAGAGATCTTAGCTAATAAAAAAAACATATTAGGTCTCTCCTATTATCCAAAATTGGAGAAAAATGTTTCCTGATTTTCCCTTTTGGGAACAACTATCCATTAATTTCAAATAATTCACCATATCAATTAATTTTGATTATTATTATTTATTTTTAAAAATAATCATTCATTAATTTTAAATAATTTACTATATCAATCAATTATTAATTTTGAATCTTCACTAAAATTTGTCGAGACATTTTCAATTCAGGTTATTTTATTTTATTTGAGTTAGTATAATATTAATAGCTAAAAAAAATTCATCACTTTTTTATATCATGATCACTTGGTTCATCTTGTGTCCCCTTTTCCTGCCTCACACTTCAAATGTTGCCATGCGTCTCCCTCTTAAAACTTTAAGTTGTAGACTTTCTGCATTGGATCAGCCCTTAGTTTTCTTTTTCTTTTTTTTTTATTATATATATTTAAATAATGAAGCAAATGAAGTTTTTAGTGGTGGGTCTGTAAACATTGAGATTTTATCACAATATTATTTTAGATACTTTCTTCTTCTTTTTTTGAACAAATATTATTTTAGATACTTGACTCCTCTTTATAAATGATCAATTAATTAATAAAAAAGAATATTCTTATTGCGCGTCAAAACTGATCAATTAATTAATAAAAAAGCAGAATTTTTGGAGCACGTCAACGTATATTGGTGGAAGAAATAGAGCCAGGATGTATCAAGACTTCATTCCAAAATTGAAGAAAACACGCAGAGAAGGCAGAGAAAATAGAAGGAAAGGGGAAGCAAAATTTAGAGAGGAAAATAAAGTACGAGTCGAAGAGAACAATAGAAGGGCTCAAACACATTTGATAGTGGCAACGCTCATAGCAACAGTTACTTTTGCGGCAGGTTTCACAATGCCAGGTGGATATGATGGCAACCAAGGTCCAGAACAAGGTATGCCAGTTCTATTAAGAGCAGCAGCTTTCCAAGCATTTGCCATTACCAACACTATAGCTATGATCTGCTCAATTTCTGCTGGGTTTCTATACGCATCTGCCTCTTTTTACAATCAAGTGGAAAAGCAAGAGCACCGCCATTTGATAGCATTCTGGCTTATTTTAGTTGCAATGGGAGCGATGGTTGTGGCGTTCATTACAGGCACTTTCGCTGTGTTATCACATTCTTTAGGCATTGCAATTACTGCATGTATTGTTGGCTCTTTCTCCTTTTTCATTTTAATTCCCGAAGTCTTTAAGCTTTATAATTACCAGTATATCACAGATCCAGCTAGTGCCATTTTCTGGGAAGAAATAAGGATTACAAACCAATATACCTGAGTATGTGAACTCAGAGGAGAATAAAGTTGCTTTGCAAATCAAGATGACTATGAAGATTTGAATTTTTACTTTTTCAGTATTTTATTTTTTTTTTATTTTTTTTTTTTTTTCTTTGTGTTTAGGCTAATAGGAGGAAACAAAATGTATCTTTTGTTGTTTTAGTGTTATTGTGGAAATGCATTTTCTTTATTTTTTACAACCATCTGTTTATGTGAACCACAATCTCCTCATAGTTTAAAGTAAAAGATAGATTCGCCTCCATCAACCTTGGTGAGCCACCACTTTCATCCATTTCCTATTAGATAATTTGCAAAACTCCCATCGTGTTGAAAGTAGAGTAATGTTTGTAATAAGCAAATTTTTATAATACATTGAATAATAAATAAATTTGGTATAAAAAATAAATATCTTAATATTACGTACTCTTAAAAATATCTTACAGCGATTTACAAATGAAAAAAAAAATTAAAAATCACCAAGTTATGCAAGCCAACGAGACTCCAAATTTATGTCGGAAGAATGTTTTAGTTGATAACGATGACGATGACTAGTGTATTTATCACCATAGTAACTTTTTATATTGCTAGTGAATTACTTCTCACTCACCCGTAGTAGTAGACATTTTGCCTAAGCACGAAAATTCTTGTGTTGTTTTTCTGTGACCATTCTATTTTATTTTTTGCTTCCATTGCTTGGATGAGGTTTATTCCCAACAACATATACATGTCTAGTCTCCATCAGATAAGCTGTCAAATATGCTTTACATTGCCAAATGCAAGGAAGCAATGGCTGGAAGTGATGAGGAGAGCTTCACTAAGTAACATGTCCAAGAAGATCAGCCTCCAAGCTCTCACTAATTCCAGGTGCTTGTCTAACTCTTCCTTCCCCAATCTTATCCAGTGTTACCACGCAAAATTTAAAATTTAATAAAAAAATGACAAGATCTTTTGTTGCATTGCCTTCTTCATTGAGAAGTCCTCCAAGAGAGAATAATAATTTCACCTTGTGATTAGTGTTACCAAACATTAAGCATTGAGCAAATTGAAAAAATGACATGAAACTACAAGATCATCAAATATATTGCTTAGCACAGTAGTTGTTACTACTATTAATGATAAAAGAACCATTGTGACACCAATATCTATCAACAACTCAATATACCAAACCAATTAATTTGTCAGAAATCAACAACAATAAAAAAATAAAAAATAAAAACATAGCTGAAATTCATATTTTGCACACTCAATGATGCAAGTTTATCTTTGAGCAACCAAAACATAAAAATAAAAATTAAAAAAGGGAAGGAATTTAAGCATTAATGGAACAAAAGGTTGGCTAACAGTTTCCGATCAACATCCTCATTCCTCATTCAAAACATTCACACAGATACTGAAGCATTGGGGTGTCAACAATTGACATTTCATAACATGAAAGACCAAACTACAAGCTAGTGCTTAAGCCCTTTTCTATAAAACTTCATTCAAGTATAATCTTTCTATCTACATACAGAAGCAAAGCTGAAGGGTAAACAATTGTTCATCAGTTACAAATTTCACTCTAGGAAACATCAATTTTCACTTTGCACCAGCACCACCACCTACATAATGAATTGAGTACAAAAAAAAGAACTTTATAATTCCAACTCATCAGACCCAGGCAACGAAACTGGTCCAAGGCAATCACCTTCCAAACTGGCAAGAATCATGAAATCTCTTTCTATGTCCCAATGTTTCTTTCTCCATCTCACAGCGAAGACCACAAAACGGATAACCACATCATTCTCTATCCTTGAGTGATCATCGTTAATGAAGATCTCTCGTGTTTTCCATTGGGCATAGTAGAAATTTGGCATCTTTTGAGCTGATAGATAAATATATTTCATGGGTCCACATCTCAAGAAGACCCCCCTTCTATGTATCTTGTGCACAACTCCAAGCATGATCTCTCCATTGACAGGTAGGAAGGTGCGACAGTGAAAGGCCACTGAGAAGAGGACGTCCCCTGATTCATCTTCAAACTCTCCATTGCCTATGCTCTTCAGTTCGGTTATTGCTAGGAAGTAACCATGCTCCTCTGTGGACTTAATGAGCAACAATTCCTTTAAGAGGCCTGTCACAACTGAGCTTTGGGGGACCACTCCATTTCTGTCCAGGCTTTTTGTGGGGATAGCCACACGCCCACGAATTTCCATTTCACGAAACATATTTGTTATCTGCATTAAAATGGCCAAACAGATAAGGGAGACAATGGGATAATCTTCCGGTGAAAATGCATTGACACAGCAGAAATGTTGCCAATTTTCAAACTAGTACATTGACAGTTCAAAACAGGACGTATTGAATAAAGCCAAAACGTTAAAATGAATACAAGGTTATAAAACGATGAAGGAAATACAAGCTTAAAGAGTACAATCCTACAACCCAATTTTGATGACCAATCAACTAAAATTTATTGGTAGGGAGGATGTAAATGACCCAAAATAGATGACTCAGTATGTTGTCATCACTACTCAAGTCCACTCATCTATAAAACATGCTCATCAATCTAATTCAAGTCCACTCATCTTAATTAAGGACATTACAACAGGCTCATCTAAGCTAATTTAGTAAAAAATGATTGACTTCGAAATTCAATACATAGATATCAATCAGTCAAAAGTGGAAGTAGAAAAACATCAATGAGATACATCAATCTAAAGTGGAGTTAAATAAGACTACACACAAAAACCATCTGTTCAATCAATGAAAATGAAGCAACAAATTTGTCCAAAGTTTTTGAGAAGTTTGAAGATATAGAGGGTATACCCATATATAGGGAAAAATTTGCTATTAAGTTTCATTTTGGATTTCGGTGTCTACATCCTATAAGGGCATTACTTTACTTTTGACTTCTAGAGATCAGAAAGCCATATGTAAGTCATAATAATTCTTCAATTTTTGTATTTTCCTTTTGCTTTCAGTGGACTGCTTGTCCACTTTATACTTCTCTGTACTCCTCTGTAATTTTATTTTTATTAATAAATTCCTCTTTGTTGTCGATAAAGATAAAAATAAAAATAACACTAATCCAATACAAAATTCTGACCAAGCTAAACCACTTTAACATGCCTAGAAAATTGGATTTCTACAACTGCTCTACAAGTGTCTAAAAGTTGAAACCTAAGATGCACGGACAATTTTAAGAAGGCTCCTCTTCGTGTTGGACATGTCAAAGACCAATATTCCTGAAGACACGCATAGAACCACATCCTATAATTTTTAAAATATTTTTAGAACTAGACAAGCTTTGGACACTTGGGTACACATATCCAACATTTAGACACATAAAGCCCATTCTTAATTTGAAAAATAAAAATAAAAAATATCGAGAGTCCATAATTAACAAAAAAAAACATGCACAAAATATGCTAAGCCAGTTCTGCCATGCCTGCAGAATTGGATTTCTAGAATTACTATACTAGTGTAAAAACAAATGTAGTAAACAAAAACTAATCCAATACTAAACTTTAACTAACGTCTAGAACAAGCGCAGCACAAGCTAAACTACTTCTAACATGCCTAGAAATTGAATTTCTAGACCATCCATACTAGTGTCGAAAGTTGAAACTTAAGAAGCATGAAAACTTCTTAAGAATGTGCAATGTCTGTGTTGGACACATCGAACACCAATATTTCTGAAGATAGTAATAGAAATGCATCCTGTTATTTTTGAAGTCTTTAGAATCAGCGAAGCTTTGGATATTTGAAAGACACACACATCCATTGTTTAGACACATAATACACATTAACAATATGAAAAAATATATATATTTGAGAGTCAGTAATTAAAATAAAAGCAATGTGAGTTTATATTTCAAGAGCTCTAAAATCTAAATTTCAAATTCGTTTGGGATAGTGTTTTCAAAATAGATATTAGGACCTTCCTCCAACTTTTTTTCCCTCTATTTCTAATACATAGAATGTAGAATATGATTGCTTACTATTTTGATAAAATATAAAAAGTAAATTACATTGACCACCCCTAAGGTTTAGAAAAATACAATAAGCTCAACAAGACTGGCATAATTACAATAAAACTCCCTTTTAGCAAGCAGAATTAATGCAGGTGATGTGCAAACACAAGGATAGTCAATTATAAAATATACAAGGGGTATAAAACATATAATAATATCATTTTTTAATTCATATGACTAATGAATTACTAATGAAAAAGGAGCTAAGTGTTATGTGAATTCAAATCATAAGTGAGCATGGTGTAATTATGCCAAACTTGTGAGGCTTGGTGTATTTTTCAACCTCAAGGGAGGACAGTGTAATTTACCCAAATATAAATGTATTTGTAATGTAAAAAACAAAGCTATCATTATTTTCATGTACATACAAACATATATTTATTTGTTTCTATATCACTGGCATGTCATGTGTTGATTTTTTTTAAATTGTCTTGTTGGCATGTCCTTACTGTGTAGTATCCACATGAACCCATCCCCGTTCGTATCCATGCTTACTTTTGCTTTGCCTACTATGAGAATTAGAGAATAATACACATCCACAACAAAGAGATGCTCAAGTTTAAACGAGGTCAGAATAACTCAGCAACTCAAACAACAGGGGAGCTAAGAGAATTACTGAAATTAACCCCACAACTAAAAGCATAAGGGCGTCAAATTAACAATGCTGCACCATGAACAAAAAACAAATTCGGATTTGCATAGGTTACACTTGGGACATTGCATAATCAAGTCATCATTCAAGTTGAGTCCTGCTTTTGTGTTTTAAAATGTTAGTTGCAACTTTCTCAAGATTTGCGAATTTTTTTCTTTCTTGGTTTGGAAGTTTTAGGAGTTCGTCGACTAACAAAACCCCCAGATTTAATGGACTTGAAATGTAGTAATGATATGTGAACTCATTATCGATCAAATAATATATGGATCACCTATGTCTCAAAAATTCCAATTTCCAACTTTTCATTTTAAGAGTCTTACTCCGAGCATTAGAAAGACCCGCCCAGCAACCTAATTACTTTTACATAATCATTTGAGCTTTGATTCATTGAATTTTAACTTATATAAATTTGTAAAAAGCTTTTGGAGCTATATGTTATGTTATGTGTGAAATAGCCTTACCTTAGGGGTGATTCCTAAGATATCCTAAGTGAAATTCCCATATTCTTATGTTTCTTCTCCTTCTCTTCATTTTTTCTTTTTTATAAAAATTGTTCATAAGATAATCGTTATAGCCCACAACTATTGCTATTTCCCTAAAAAAAAAAAAACTCACATTATCCTCCTTTATTAATACTAACCCTTTTCCATGGTCTTCAGTTTCATCCTTACAATTCTAGAATGCCTATTGTCCCCTAATTTTTTTTTTTTTTTTTTTTTTTTTTTTTTTTTTGTTGACAAGTGGAGTATCTATGGTACATAATTTCCTAGAACCATTAATATCAAATTCGAGCAGCCTCACAATTTAAAAATCATGCCTACTCCAACACCAATCCCCAAACTTGTAGCCTCCGTTTTATCTTATTAAAAACAAAACCTACTACCTCCATAATAATATCCCCCCGAAACACCGTCTTCCCTAGTCCATTCCTACCCTTAAATTACTCTCTCTATATATAGTTAATAAAATAAGCATTTCCACTCAAACCTCAACAGCATTCACAAATAAATAAATAAAAATAAAAAAATAATAGGCATTTCAATTATCGCAAAGGGTTAAAAAAGTTACTCACCTAACAAATTGCGGATCATGCCATGTTGATTAGGATACTATTAGACTATATGTTGAGTTGTAGAGACCCTTATCAGATATACCATGACAATTGGGACACCGTTGTAGCTGAGGACAGAACTACCTTAAACAACTTTCAAACATAATTGCTCCTGTTCATCCCTGAAAGCATTAAAAACTCAACGTACTATTACATCTTCATAACTACTGTGTACAGGGCACTAGTAAGAAAAACTATTAATACTTGTAAGTCAAAAATTGAAAAAAATGAAATTAAAAGGTGCATCACACTTGACTTCAATGTCACACTCCGTCTGTACAAGTAGAAAACACAGCAAACAAATGCAATCTAGTAAAGTAGACGAATCAAAATCTAAAAACCCAACCAATAAATAGAATCCCTATTTAATAAACTTGTTCCAAAGTCTGAAAAGAACATAAAATTTCCTTTTTGATGCTACTATGTTTCACATATAAAAAAATGAAAAATTTATATTTATCTAAAATAAGCATTCAGCATTTTTCTGGCATTTATTTGAATGTAAAATATTTTTTATTGATTTAAAAGGAGTATGTTTTACCTTCCAAGAACTCAAAATGACTATTGATTTCATAAGTTGTTTTTCCTAATAAACACCCCAATCCCACATGTTTAAAACATATACATGTGTCCACATATACATATATGCATACTCATGTCCTTTACATATATCTTCGTATAAGCATACATATACAGACTAATACATATGATATGTCTAAACTATACACTTATATAAAGGTAGCAAAACTGAACGAGGTGCCAGCTTTAACACAAATAAAGGTTTTTCTAAATGGTGACTACAATTCAAACGAATGCGATTTTTTCCCCTTTTGCTAAGCCCCGAGAGGTTTAGGTCCAGAATATCATAACTAAAGTTAGTTTTAGCTCAATGCCATACTAAATCAACTATAGTTTGTAAATTGAAATTCAAGTCAAGAATTAAAACCCCATATTTCCAAATTGCAAATCAAATTGTGTTTTGTACACCATTTTCGTATTAAAAGTTGTTGAATGTAAGATTCAGTTACACTTTAAAATAGGTCAAAATGTACAAGTATAACACATATGCTAAGAAAAGAATATCATAGAAATGTCAGTCACGGTTATAAATAGCTTCTTTATTGATATCCTATGAAGCACGATCACTTCATTTAGTCATCATATCTGTGCCGAACACCGACACTCCTCGAACACACTTGGAATACATGTCGAACACATTACATGGCATGTCAATTTTTTTTTTAAATGTCTTTCAACAGGACATGTTACGAGATACGTCAAAGACGTGTGTCTTATGTCCAGATCAGACAAGCCAAAAGACTAGGGGCAAAGCTAGAATTCATGTACATTGGGGAAAAAACCTCACCTAGAATCACACACAATTTTTTCCTATTTGAAAACTAAAATAAATAATTTCCAAACAGGGCAAAATAAAACCATATTTCAAAAGTAAAAATTAATGTTTCGCAGAATTTTAGTGGGGACAAATTAAATATGTTTTAAATAGATAAACAAATATTTTTATAAAAAAATTGCCAATTTTGGGAATCATATATGAAAAATAAAATTTTCCAAAACTTTTGCATCTACATGCACAAGACACATTTGAGGTTTTATTATAATTTTAAAAAGGTGGTTTGGTGATTAGAGTATAGAATTTAGAGACGGTGAAAATGTAATAAAAAAACAAAACATGCCCATTATATGTTCAATTTTCAATATCTATACAATGACGTTTAAATTTTAGATTGATTGTTTTATTCATGTTGAATTAGTGCGATTTTTTCATTATTTTTGGTTGTTTATGAATAAAAATATATATATTTTATATTATTGTATCTCTATCATGTTCATATCTTCTTCGTTCTTTTTTTTAAATTGCTATGTTTAGTGTCCATCCATATCTATGTCCGTGCTTCTTAGGTGTGATATCTCAGTAACACACATTTCTAGAGAGGAGCCATGTCCATGTCAATGTCAAACAAGTGTTGGAAACCAACACTCCTTTCTTAATTTTCATTAAGTAAAGCAACCACATGTTAAGGTAGAACCAAAAGGGGGCAAACTTTGTTAAAAATAAAATAAAATAAAATAGAAGGGATCAAAAAGACACTTGTCAAAAATACTCAACACAAAAATTGAGCTCTCCACTAAAATCTATAAAAGCAAAAAAGGATTCACAAATCAATCTTTTACACCAAAAATGAAAAATATGCAATAAAACATTTTGAGCTTTTGTACTCCAAAATTAGTATCTTCAAATGTATGTTGATCGCTTTCTCTCCATAGGCACCACATGAGACACAACGGAGCAATCCTCGATTCCTTTTTCTTCCTCTTCACCTTACATCAACACCCCAACATTTCATCAAAATAAGAACTGAATCTGACATCACCTAATGAGCTTCAAAAATTGGTAGAATCCAACACTTCTTGGACACTACTAAAAATGTATCCCACACTTTTTAAATTTAAACATGTCCAAATAAAAAATAAGATTTCACAATCTTGGACACATCTCAAACACCATTTAACATAACCCATTTACCTATTTGGTAAATCTCTTAATAAGAACAACTTCCATACAACTGCCACACACCAAAAATATCTGGAAGCATTTTGACAAGAATGCATTAATGGATGACCAACATAAAGTCAAGTATATAATGGGCATCTTTAAACATATGAAAAAATATATATATAAGAACAAAACTGGAAATGAATTAGTAAGAATGCAAGTAGTATGAATATGCACCATCCCAAATTTTGTAATTTTAAGCAAAAATATTTAGATATTTTAGTGATAAAATAAACTCTAAATAGGATGAATAACCAAATATTCCTTCTTTATTGCAACTTTCAAAGTTTCTTACTTGATCTTTTGGACAATTTTCTTTTGTTTTTACAAATATATCTCTTACATGACATGTAGTTTGATATTTTGCAAAATAACTCCATAACCATCACATCCACTTCTCATTTGTATTTCATCTAAAACTTTGTAAACGTAACCATCATTATGTCTTCTGAGCATGTAAACAATGGGAAACATCTTTGCTAGTTCCAAAAGTCTTGCTAGAATTTAACTTTAAAGATCATAATAACTCTATAGGAAGCTTATCACATAAAGGGGACGGAGACTTTTATGGTATGGTAGTTAAAATTAAAAACTGAATTACATTATTAATCTTTGAATTGTGTATCACAAGCTTTTTCTTAAGATTGCATAAATTCAATATTATTCTTTGTAAGAATAGATTTGACCTAATTATTCATATTGAAAAGATGTCAAATTCAGCACAATTGTAAGGTTTATAAAAGAAGCACCAAGATTTTGGTAAATTAACCCAAATAAAAGCACACCAGTCAACCTTAAGAAGGAAACAAAGAATCAATGCTGTATCAACAAGGCGGGTAGAAAACTCTCACACAAAGCAGACCTTCACTTGATACCTATCCACTCTATCAAGAAATTCCCTCTACACCACAATCATAATACTCCCTTGATCCATGTTATTTTCCTTCCATAGGATTTGATCATTATATATTTCAAATTCTACTTAAAAACCAATCAACAAGACAAATAGGAATTGAAAATTTTAGCAATAGCACAAAGCAATAATGTGTAGGCTTATTAAGACAGGGATGCTTTGTTAGATACAAAACACTCATTTACAGTATAGTTCTGTTCTCTAACCACAAGAACACACAACACGACCATGAGAGAGAGAGAGTGCGCGCGCTCAAAAGCTTAACTCTGTTATTCAACGAAATAGGACGATCATTGTCATAAGACAAGTGTTTCACATATGAAATTAGCATGAAACTTTTTCCTCAGTTTCTGGTTGTAAATCCCCTAACTTATTCCATCTACTTTTTTTTCTTTTCCCTTGCCATCTGACCAATATTCTCAGCAACAACACCACAAACACACAAGCAAGGCACTAACCTTCTCTGGGTAGTCCTCTAAATTGATCCATATGGAACACAATGTTCCCTAATGGGTGTAGAAAAATTAAGAGGATCTAAACATTATGATTCAAATTTAAACACTGTGCACCACTTGCAAAACTAAAAATTCGACTCGATCTATTAGCTGATAAAGTCTACAGATAATTGGAGATAGAATCAAAAGAAAATTAATTTGAAATGTTTACATCATACCCAATTTCCCAAAAACCTGAAACCCTATTTCAAATTGAACGGCCATGCTCATAGATTCTTAGGCTCAATATATGTAACATTTCCAAGATCAAACACATACGTGTGTGTGTGTGAATCCATGAAAGAACTTGAATTGTGTGATAATCATATTGAATTCCCATTTCCAAGTAGAAACCAAAGTGACACCTTTAATTTTAAAAATAAAATTAAAAAATAAAATCCTGAAACAATGATATGATACAAGCAAAAATACAGAAAATCTATACGCACATACGTATATTATATATAGAGAGATGCTTAAATTAAGCGAGATTTTAAGGGAGAAGATTCGGTTTACCTTGAAAGAAGAAACCCTAGGAGAGAGCTAATGTGGATTTTGGCAATGTCCTCCCTGGTGGGATCGAATGAAGAGAGACAGAGAGAGCGCTTTCTTTTGTTTTGTGGAAATGGACCGCTGGCAATCCCGGTTCAATGAAAAATCAAATCAACCTTGCGAAAATTACTAACTACGTTTTAAAATATTCGTCTCTTAATTTGTTTTTTATTATCTCAAAATATTAATTTTTTTCAAAAATTAAGGATGAAAATAGTATGAAGTTTTTATTTTGTCATTTTTTTACATTTATTAGCAATAATATTTTTGTAATAAGTATACTACTAAATGATTGTTTTGAAAATTAATATTTTTAAAATGTAATAATTATACTAGCAAAAAAAGTTAAATTTTCAAAAGAGCATAAATTATCTAATAGATCAAAAACAACACATGTTCATGTGCCCGACTAATGAAATATTAAATTTTGTCCACTATCTCCTTATTATTAGGATTATGTATTCATTTAGCCTCTTATTATTGATTGAACGCACCATCAATGTGAAATTCCAAGACAGTAATATAATAACACCCAAAAGTTACTAATATTTTTGGACATAGGGAATATATATTTTCAAAAATAATTTCAAATTGTTTACTAATTTTAATAATTGAAGTTATAATTTTTTGGAAATTTTACTTTAAAAAATTCAATGTTTAATAAAAATAAATTTTTAATTTTATTGATTTAAATATTATTATTTTGATTTGTTTTCTATTTAAATCATGGAAAAAATACTCATAAATCCCGATTTGAGAAATGTTGATCCATTTAGTCCTAGAAGTTTTCTTTCAAACCATTTAGTCCTTTTTATTTTTGGTATGTTTGTATTTGTTGGTTTAGGGGTTATAGAGTTACTTGTCTGCCCTTTGAATTTGATTTTTGTTTTGATTTTCTTTTCTGATGTTAGGTGTGGCACATAAGGTATGTTTTTGGGTTTCTATTTTTTTGTTGGAATGTGGGGAGTGATTTGTGGGATTTGTTGATGTCATTTCCGCTTGTGTGTCGCGGTGTCGATGTGGAATTTCTAGTATATGTTGGAAAGAGTTGTGTAGTGTGGTATATTTTTTTTTTTGCTGCTTCTGGGTAGGGTTTTGACGTGCTCTGTGGCTTGGTGAAGGTGAGTTATATATGTATATTGTTGTTGGTTCGTTTTGGTTTGTTTGTGGTTTAATTTTTGGAATTCAAGTGTGTGGGAGCTTGATTTGATGTTTGATGTTTGGTATGTATATGTTGAGCCATTTTACCATGTTAAGGAGTTCAAGGCAGTGTATTCTGGGGCTATTCACCCAATTCCAACTGTCGATAAACCCAATTTCACAATTGCAGATTACCTCATTGCGTTGCCGATTGTTAAGTAACCACTCGGAAGACCTACAAGAAAGCGGATTCCATTGAAGGGTGAGGTGGTACTAACGTATTTGATGCGACCATTGTGGAAAAATGAGAAATCATAACTGGAAAACATGTAAGGAACCGATGTAGTACATCAATAAATATGGTTGACGTCACCATCGCAACTTTTACCAATGAACACCACATATTTTACTATGACGTCATGTGTAGTCAGTCTAATGCAAGTTTATGACATTTTAGATATTAATTATGTGTGTTTACTCAGTTGGTTGACTACATGTAACTAAATAAATTACATTTTTAATAGATACTTATTTTAAAGGAAAAGCTTACATTGTTCAGAAAAAGATAAAGGAAAAACAAAATACAAAACTAAGGGTCTTCTCCTCCAAATTGTTGAATTTGGAGATCTGATACAACCTCGGCCTCCTTTTCTGCCGCTATTTCGGCGTCAATTTCTTGAAGAGTTTGTTCAACAGTCTTAACCTCGGACGGGATGTCGGCTGGAACAGTGTCAGGAACAGTTTCAGGGATAACCTCATCACCTTCTTCGTCTTGAGTCAAGTCAAGGACTTGTTCATTCAGAAGAGGGGACTTAGCCCCATCAGCATCCCTTGATTTTCTGACCAAGGCCTCATCCTCTTTCTCATCGGCATCTTCAGACTCAGATTCAGATCCTCCTTCAGGTTGACTTGATGGAGGAGGAGGGGGGAACGACAAAGGAATAGCGTCGGCTTTGTGCAGTAGCGAGTCATCTGGGATGTTGAGCTTTTTGGAAAGAGCCATCCAACCGAGGGAGAAGCCCCTGTTGCATGCCTGCCTGACTTGCAGTTTGTATTCCTCAGAGACGTCGACCATGCCCTGGGCATAAGCCTTCTCATCAGCTTCTTTAATCTCAGCTTCTTTGGTGGCCAGAGCCTTCTGAAGCTCTTTCTCAGCTTGGACCTTTTTGACCTCGGCCTCTCTCTTCTCGACTTCGGCAACTTTTTTGATGGCCTCAGCAGACTCGGCCTTTTCTTCGGCTAGGGTTTAGGCTTTGGTGGCAGCCTCAGCCTGGTCTTCCAGTTTTTTCATTTTTAACTGCAGAGTTTTGCTCTCCTTTTTAAGAGCAGAAACCTCCCTCTTCATGTCGGCCAACCTCTCCCTTGTTTCGAAAGATTACATGGAAAGGGAGTGGGCATGTTGGATGGCCTGAAAGAACACAAGGCACAAATTGTTATAAAATTTTACAAATTAAGAGAGAAAACAAATTTTCAACACAAAGGCACTTACTTGGGCAGAGTGTTGCAGCATAAAGGCGTAATTCTCATACTCACTCATCTTGGCGTTTCGCTCAAGATCGCCTTGGAGGAGTAGAGCAGTACTTCGGGCCACGCCGACGTTAATGTCATCGGCACTGTCGCTGGCTAGGACTGGCTTATCTTCCAGAGTAATTTCTAGTCTCCAAGGGACTTTTGGTATTTTGGAACCCGAGGTCGTCGCAGACGATGACCTCAGCTTCTTTGATTGGGTGGATTCCGATGGCTGGGCCTCAGCAGACCTTTTTGCAGAAGTAGAAGTAGTTTTTTTACTCTCAGCCAAGTATGAGATGGGCAGAGCATCCTCAGCCTCAACCTCAGCAGCTTTGGCCTTGGGCTGAGCCTTTTTAATTCTCTTCGGCTTTGGTGGGGGCATGGTTTGCGGCGGTTGAGCGTCAACATTCGTGGGAAGGTCGGCTAGGAGATCTTGGGCAACAGGCTTCGGGCGACCCATCTCAGCAGTTTTGACGAGTCTACGCCGACGTTTTCTTTCTGGTATTGGGATTAGGTATGGGGCAGAAGTTGATGGCTGGTCGGCTGGATCAGAGGTTGACCCTTGGTCAGCCCGAGATGTTGATGCTGTTTGTAGAGTGGTAGCAGAGGGAGGAGATAGGCTCTTCTTCTTTCTTTTTGGGACGTCGGGCAGTGTGGATTTGTATGTCGGAATAAAATTCAGTAACAGGGAAGCCTTGCGCTTGTGAATTGGAAGATCTAGGAGCTTCTTTAAATCTTTTCCAGGGAAGAAGGATTGGCGGAAGTTTTTTGGTGGCTGATGAAGATCTGCAGGACAAACAAACAGACATTAGAAACAGACAAAGTTTTGAAGACTTGGAAAAGAAATAACTAAGTATTGACGCTGGGCTCTTACCCTTGCCCTCTTTAATTGTTCGAGGAAGAGGGTAGAGGTGAACATCTTCGTCTGGACCAAATTCCTAATTTCCCGAAGCAATGACAAAGTTATCCCCGGCTCCCTTGTTGGAGTCCGGGAGGTTGGCTACAATTTTGAATTCAATAGACCTCGGCTTGAGGTAGTAGACGTAACCTCTTTCCTTCAGGTTAAGGGGGCACATGGTATAACAATATTGTACATCGGCAAGGGTGATCCTAACATTCTCCTACATAGCTAAGGCTATGATACCATTAATCACTCGATAGGAGTTAATGGTAAGTTGCACGGGGTTCAACTTATAGTAGTGGAGAACCTCGCGAAAAAGGGGATTAAGTGGAAGCCGGAGTCCGCACTCAGTAAAAGCTACTATAAGAAAGGGCATTGAATCATCTGTGGGCATGATAGAGTCATTATTTTCAGCTAGCCTCAGATGGACATCGGCAGGAATAGAGAACTCCCGCCTAAAGTACTCAAGTTTGGTCAGGGTATCTACCCTATGTCTCCACATACTCATAACGTCGGCCTAAAGACAGAGGGCTAGGTTTCAGAAAGAATGTGTTCTTAAGGGGTTATCGGGACCTCGGCGAAACCCTAGGTATATGCTGGTAAGGATTGTTTCAGTTTTCCTTAAGGTTCTATAGACAAAACCCAAACCTAAATCTATGAAGGCAAAGATTGAAAGAAAGCAGAGATCTGGCAAAGACACACAAAAAAAAAAAAAAAACAGAAAACACAAAAGCGAAATTTCAGAAACAAGAAACAAAGAATGACGTTTCAAAATCAAGAACAGAGGTATGGTTCTCAAAAGCATAAAAAACAAGAAATACAGGCTCAAGAACAAAAAAGTATTGAGACAGTACAAGTGTTCAAAACATGAGTGAAATCATGGAATAAACGCGTCCAGATGAACAGTTCAGCAAAATCAAAGGTTTGAAACAAAGCAATAATGGCAGCAAGTAAACGAAAGCACATAGAAGAAATTTGGAATAAGAGGAACAGAGGCTTACCAGAACAAATGAAGCCGGAATAAAAGGTCGCCAAGGTAAGGCAACGGTTGCAGACACAACGGAACGGTGAAAGCTTCAAAGGAAGAATGAAGACGGTTGCAGAGCTTGGAGCTAGAGCAATGACGGATTTGAGAAGGTTTAAGAGAGAGAGAAAGCCAGAAAATCGAAAACAAAAGTAAAGAGACGAAAAGAAAGGGGAAAAAGTTTTGTAAAAAAACTTGAAACGGTGGCAAAAGCAGGGCATTTATTACGCCTGGAGCAACGCACACGTCAGACGGCGCAGATGGGTGAAATACAGCTTTTAGGCGCGTCACAAACACGGGCCAATGAGGATAAAGCACGTGAGGGGAACGGTTGAGAAGTGATGCATGACAGCTCATGCGTGTGGGGGCGTTCGTTTAAATTCTTGTTCTCCGAAGAGAACACGTCGGCCAAAAATAAATAATCTCGACTAAACAGTTTTTTGAGCCAATAGGCAGAAAGAAATATCGATATAGGTTTCATCACCTCAGGATACCGAGGTAATAGAACCTAAGGGCAGTTGTGGGGAT